ATACCTGCTATATATTATATTGTAGTATATCCTAATGCATGACTACGTTTAAAATTTCAAAGCATTTCGTCAAAAAACAAAAGAGATATTGAAATCTTTGTTTCAGCCAATCAGAGGGAAGCGCACGTGCATGCACGTGAGTTCGTGCTAATTTGACCATGTCATATTGTCTAGACTATTAATATATCCTTATAGAATGAGTTTCAAAGCATTTCAATAAAAAATGTAAAAGTTATGGCTATAATAAGTATATCAGTCATTTCACTCATTTCACGCACACGCACGTGCATGCGTATGCGCGCAAAATGACCTTCGTTGTGCACACCTACACTTGACACCTATTTACCCTAAAAAGATTTTAACTTAGTTGGGTGAACAGTTTCTGAGAACACTCACGGACAAAAAAGAACCCGGAGAACAAAGAAGAAAAAAAAGAATAATAATAATAATAATAATAATAACTAGAGCAAAGCTCGTTGCAAAGCAACGAGTAGGTCTTCCGTCCTGTTAGACCGGAAGTAGCATTAATTTTTAACAAAAATGAGAAATAACGCCTAAAAATGGTTTGAATCCTCTATCGCTATGTTAATTAATGCAAAAATAAGCAATTTGTTGCTACTTCCGGTTTGACCGGAAGTGACGACGACGGACTATAAATTATTGTTTTGCTTCTAGAAACATTTGTTATCAAAAAACTTGTCAAGAACGGGAAAAATACGCGTTTTTCGACTACTTCCGGTTTGGCCGGAAGTGACGACGCCGGACGTTTTTTGACGACTTCAGTAGATTAAGCTTGTCATTTTGAACAACTTTGCTTCTTTGACGTATTACAAATTCTCAATACGTTTTGAGATATAAAGAAAAAACTGTCGGCCCCTCTAGGCCCTTAAATTTAGGGGCCAGCCCCTTTTTTCGAGATATCATTTGAAAGATCTTTTAAATTCTACACTTCTTTTGTTCTTAATGTTTTCACAAAATATTTTCAGGTAAAAAAGAATATATCGAAGAAAAGGTGTGAGAAATTTTGAAATTTGTGATAGGTCTATTTTCGGGCCATAGCGAGCGCCGACGTGCGTCATTTCCGGTAAATTTGATATACCTGATGCACCTCTCCAGACATAGCTCTACCTAGCCTCAAAGTTTGAAGTTTCTATCTAGAGCCGTTTTTCGGGAAAACTGTGGAAAAAATGACCCTTAAAAATAAGAAAATCGACGATATCTCTAGACCGGAAGTGACGTCATCAAAACGGAAAAAAACGCATAAGGTTCAAGTGATGTTCCATACGTCCTGAAAGTTTCATAAGATTTTGTTGAGCCGTTTTCGAGAAATCGCGTGCACAAAATCGGTAAGAAAAAAATAATAATAATACTAGAGCAAAGCTCGTTGCAAAGCAACGAGTAGGTCTTCCGTCCTGTTTGACCGGAAGTAGCTTCATTTTTAACAAAAATGCGAAATAACGCCTAAAAATGGTTAGACTCCTCTAAAGCCATGTTAATTAATGCAAAAATAAGCAATTTTTGGCTACTTCCGGTTTGACCGGAAGTGACGACGGACGAAAAATTCATTTTCATGCTCCCAAAGACATATGTTACCCAAAAACTTGTCAAGAAAGGCAAAAATATGCGTTTTCCGACTATTTCCGGTTTGACCGGAAGTGACGACGCCAGACGTATTTTGACGACCCCGATAGATTAAGCTTGACATTTTGAACAACTTTGCTTCTTTGATGTATTACAATTTCTCAATATGTTTTGAGATATAAAGAAAAAACTTTGGCCCCTATAGGCCCTAATTTTAGGGGCCAGCCCTTTTTTTTTCGAGATATCATTCGAAAGATTTTAAAATTCTACACTTCTTTTGTTCTATATGTTTTAACAAAATATTTCCAGGTAAAAAGCTATCGTAGAAAAGGTGTTAAAAATTTTGAAATTCGCGATACGTCTATTTTCGGGCCATATCGAGCGCCGACGTACGGCACTTCCGATAAAAATGAAATACATTCCGCAAATCTACAGACATAGGTCTACCATTCCTGAAAGTATCATGTATCTATCTAAAGCCGTTTAGGAGAAATCGTGCGGACAAACTGACCCTTAAAAAACCATTAAAGTGCCGATAACTCCGGACCGGAAGTTGACGTCATCAAAACAGAAAAAAACGCATAAGGTTCAGGTGATGTAACATAAGTCCTGAAAGTTTCACGGAAATCCATTTAGCCGTTTTCGAGAAATCGCGTGCACAAAATAGGTAAGAAAAAAAAACAATAATAATAATAAAAGTGAAAAAGAAACCTAAGAATAACAAGAAGGTCTTCCGCTGAAGACGGAAGACCTTAATAAGAAACCGAGTAAAAACAATATGTTCCCAAACTCCGTTTTGGGGAACATAATAATAAGAAACAGAGTAAAAACAATATGTTCCCAAACTCCGTTTGGGGAACATAATAATAAGAAACAGAGTAAAAACAATATGTTCCCCAACTTCGTTTGGGGAACATAATTACCGAAGTGTCCACATGTTGGGGGTTACTTTTTCATCAACAGTATATTATAAAATGACATCATAAAGAGAGAAGGGGATCCCGGTAGGTGACACGTATGCTAATGCAATACTTTCAGAATGCTTGTTTATCTTCAGTTTGCAAAAAACAGAGTTTTCCCCTTCAGGTGCTTTATTCTTCAAGATATTTTAAATAGTCATGTTTCTTCCTTTACATGTATGCATCGTAAAATGTAAAGAGGGCACTGGAGATGGACTACATGAAATGTATGGAGAAAACCATGCAACAGCAACCTCAAAAATCCATTAAACAATAAAAGTCGGGAGCAAACACTGACTTCTACAACATCAAAAGGTGGGATCAGGTCCCATGGAGAGAGCATCCCTTGCCTACCGGTCACACCAACTGTGTTCTCCTTGTCATGGGGCAGATGTCCTGTCACTTGGCTACCATAACCGGTTCTGGAAGAGGGATGGCGGATAGCAATCATAGCACATACTTTTAGATAATTTATTAATAAGCACAGGTTTTCTCAATCGATCGATGAATGATCGACCGACAGGTTGAAAGACAAACAGACAGATCTTTACTTTACATACAGTACAAATTATATGAAAACATTTGTATTTTAAATGTGGAACACATTATGAATTAAAAATTATAAATATACAATATATAAAGAAATAGAAAAAAGTAATTAGAACTTCATATATGGAATTCAAATGAGTTTCAATTCAGTAAAAGTACTGATGAGATTCCTCCAAGGGCAAAACCAAGTAGTTTGTTAGCGATGACGTTGATGGTGTAACGTATGGCGCCGAATGGTTCCGCCGCTAGAATACTCGTGTTCATGTTTGTGGTAATGGTTTCTGTCCTGGTTCAACTCTGTTGGAAAGCAAGATGTGTTTGTGAAACACTAGTACTGATGCACCCGTATGGCAACATAGCGAATATTAAACTTTCTCAAATGCAGATCAAATATGGTGGTACCCAAAGTAAGGTTTCTCATACAAGAAATACAGTTGTGAAATATGAAAACCTTAGCACCACCTGTTCAAAAGTTATTATATAGCTAGGTTAAAAGTATTTTAAGGTAGGTCAAACTTCTAGGTGAAGGTCAAAGGTTCAAAGTTGTTGGTTTCTAATGAAAGGTCTTGTCACAAGGATTTCATATTTGAAGTATGAAAGCCCTAGCTTTAAACATTCAAAAGTTATGACCAAAGCTATTTTTATTTTTTAAAGTAGGTCCAACATATTGGTCAATGTCAAAGGTTCAAAGTTGTTGGTATCCTAGAAAAGGTCTTGTCACAACGGTTACTCATAAGAACTCTCGAGCCCTTAACCATTATAAAGGTATGGCCAATATTATTGTTTAAAGTAGGTCGGTCTACCAAGATCAAAGGGTCAAAGTTGTTGGAATGCTATGAAACGTCTTGTCACACAAAATATATATCAGAAGTATGAAAGCCCTAGCACCAACCATTTAAAAAGTTGTAGCCAAAGTAAAGGTGTGGTATTTTTGGTAAAAGTATGTCAAACACCAATGTAAACGTTAAGAGGTCAAATTTGATGGTAGTCAAAAAGGTCTTATCACAAGGAATACACCTGTGAAATATGAAAGCCATAGCCTTACCCACTCAGCAATTATGGGCAAGGTTCAAGTTTTTGCATACACATGTACAAGCAGCCAGACAGACGGAAAGGGCAAAAACTGTGTATCCCGGAAACTTCGTTTATGGGGCATAAAAAGAAAAGTCTTTAATTCACCCTCAGACAGAGATAATTATCATTGTCTATACAAAATTATCATGTTAAAAAAAGTGAGCAAGCTCACATACCCCACGCTCCCCTAAAACTCGAAGTTCTGAAATTGCCGGGAAAACATAAAGGAATCCCAATTTCCTGGTAATATGCACTGTTGCAACTAACGATCACTATTGAAATAATTATTTCAATAGTGGTTGAGAGTGCATTTCAATAACAAACATATGCTGCAGCCACTATTGAAATAATGTTCACTTTTGAAATAAAGATTTCAATACTGATTAAAATATAGATTTCAAAAGTGATTGAAATATTGATTTCAATAGTGCTTTAAATAATGAAACCAATAGATATTAAAATAATTATTGTAATACTTGCTGACAATACCAAAACCACATTGCAAGTTTCATAGAAGTATCCCAACTATCAAAACAAATATAAGGATGAATTACACATTCTGTTTTCTTACACAAGAAACAAATTTATTGAGTTAAAAATATGATTACTAAAGTTGATTTATGTTTTCCTTTTTTGTAGAAATGTCAATTAATACACGGACACTTTTTATTAAACTTGTATGCAAATGTTATAAGCAAGCTCTTGTTGAATCTGGTCGAATCGGCGAAAACCAACAGACAATCAATTAATATATGCAGTTTTAAAATAATGTGTTACATAAAGTTTATTTTTGTCATTGATTTTGAAAGGAAGGATCATAAGTACATGTAGATGTAGAAATTAGAATATCTAAACTAAATTGAAAAAAAAGAAGGAAGACTGATAATTTTGTGTACAAACTTTCTGATGAAAATATGGTTATTTTGAATAAAAAGAATATAGAATAGAACTGAATTGTCACTCATATTTATGGAATTATCTGCACTACAAATATGGATAGCAAAGTCAACGTCTGCTCGTCAAGATATTAAAAAGCAATTTTTATAGGGAAGTTAGTATTCGGTTTTGTACATTATTTTGTACATTTTAAGACAGAAAATAAATATATTTATAAAAAAAAAAATATTTAAAATATACTTAAATTCACTGAAATATATACTTTTGCATATGTATAATTATTATTAAAAATTTTTAATTAAAAAAAATTGCTCTATATTATAAAATGTTTTACCATACCCAGTCTTTTGCAATGTGATTTTTTAATGAATAAAAATAAATAATTTATCTGCTATTTTTATTTTAAAAAGTCTAATTTCTCATTGAAATAGAAGTAAAATAATTATGTGTATAATTATTATTAATTTTTTTTTAAATTTTTAAATTTAAAATAGCAAATTTACCTGTCCTCTACTCCCAGTGGTTTAATAATTACTGTTTTCACAGTAATGACATGTTTATTCAGCTAATTATTTGTTTACACAAAAATTCCACCTACTCCCACGTGAAATTTCACCTTTTTCTACCTGATTTTCAAAAAGTGGGAATAGCTTGCATAAACCGGTTCATTACAATGGTAGGTATTATTTCAATAGTAATTAAAATGTGGTGGTGTTTTGAAATGTATTTTAATTACTATTGTTAAAATTATAATTCATAAGTAGTCGTAATTTTAATAGTAAACTCATTAAATGAATTAACAATGTTGGAGAACATAATTAACAATTAATCCTTATATTTTTAATAGTTAAGTTATTTCAATAAGACTTGCAACGCGGTTTTTGTACTGGATTAATTATCAGCAACTATTAAAATCATTATTTGAATCGCTTTTGAAATCATTATTTCAATTACTATTGAAAACCTTATTTCAAAAGTGAACATTATTTCAATAGTGGCTGCAGCCTATGTTTGTTATTGAAATGCACTCTCAACCACTATTGAAATAATTATTTCAATAGTAGTCATATTTCAATAGTGGTTGTAAGTTATGTTTGTTATGCACTCTCAACCACAATTGAAATAATTATTTCAATAGTGGTCGTTTTTCAATAGTGGTTGCAACCTATGTTTGTTATTGAAATGCACTCTCAAACACTTTTGAAGTAATTATTTCAATAGTGGTCTTTATTTCAATAGTGATTGCAACAATGCATATTTAAACATTGTGTCCTAAATATCTGCAAAGTTTGACAAAATTCTGTGCAGGGGTTTATGAGAAGTTGCGATGACAATCTGTCCATTTCTATATTCAAGTTATGGCCAAAAATCTAAGTTGAAAAGTGCCGATATTCACAGAAAAAAAATGGAATTTCCTAGTAATATGAACATCTACACATTGTGTCCTAAATATCTGCAAAGTTTGACAAAATTCTATCCAGCGATTTATGGGGAGTTGCGCTGACCAAAAAACAGGACTGACGGACTGATTGACTGACTGACGGAAGGGTCAAAAACGTTATACCTCACGCAACTTGTTGCGTGGGTATAATTATTAATATATCAAATTATTCTGTCATATTCTTGTTTGTATTTAAATAATAAAGAATTGTTATTTTTAAATCTTCGTAAATTTGTTCCTACACAAATCAATTCAAAATGTTCGATCGTACCCAGAACAGAACTTGACTTAGATATTCTTATGAATAATCTGAATACCAAATTTCATTTCAATATGCGCAACCTTTGCAAAGAAAATGAACGTAAACTGCAAATAATGACTGAGATGTTGGACCGCTTATGTCACACAGTGGGAAGAACTTAATCTCATTTGTATTCGTTGGTATTATATTACGGAAGACAGTAAAAATATTCATGCATATAACAAAAATTAAAGTGAAAGGTATAAAAAACATTTATTGACTTTTTCTTGGGCGAAATGTGTTTTGTCGACCCTCGAACCAAACTGTTTGTCTTTGGCCTAACAGCCCCACGCAAAAATGCAATTCTTGGGTCCGACAAAACGTATGTTGCCCTCCAACTCAGTCAATAAATGTGTAATGTTTCATATGGAAAATTAGAAAAGTTAAAACAAACATTCATTTAGAAAACAGATGGATGACAAACCTAACCAGAAATTTTAAGTTCATCAAGTAAATAAACAAGAGACCCGAGAGCCTTAAATTGCTATTATGATAAATTGTACAGTCTATCATTTCTGTTTGAATACTCCAACTCTAAGTATCCTAAAACCCAAGATGCATCAACTGACAAAGTTTGATGATTCTTAGCCAGTTAGGACTGAATATATTTCAATATCGCTATAAAATACCATAAAAAAGTCACGGTGACCTACTTTTTATTGAAAGGAGTATATATAATAAGAGCCAATTTTGGCCCCCTAAAAATCAACATTTTAGAATGACATTCAGATATGTTTCACTGATATTTATTTTGTAGAAGAGATTATATTAGAAATATTTTCAATATATTTATCACATTTATATGCACTCACTAGCTGTAAATGACATGAGAAATAATGCTATTTTTGCTATCTAACAAAAAAGCCAAAAATATGCCTTTTTCTTGATGTTTTTTCTTATGGGAAACATAGAGCGCAGTGTAGAACATACATAATTTTTCTGTCACTAATTAGTATTGAATAGATACATCTTTGGTAAAATTTATAAATCTTGTTCTAGGCTGCGCTCTATATTTTCTGAAAGAAAAACTGCTTGAAAATAAGCAGTATAATACAAAATACGCTAAAATGGCGGGAAAACGTGATTTTTATGATGTCATATTTCTAAAATAACGGCATTTTGACCAAAATGAAAATGACCAATAAAGGTCGCATATATATCTGTACAAATTAAATCTATATATAAAATAAAATTAAGGTATTCATTTTAAGGGGCCAATTGAGACACTTACTATATATCACTCTTTTCTGAGGACTTAAGATGCATTTATTGACAAAGATTGATGATTCTAAGCCAATAAGTACCCAAGATAATTAAATATAGCCATAAAATGTCACAAGTAGGTCATTCAAAAGTAGGTCACTGTGACCTACTTTTTAATTGAAATTCTCCGAAAACCCAAGATGCATCAACTGAAAAAGTTTGACGATTCTAAGCCAATAAGTACCCAAGTTACTTAAATATTGTCATAAAATGTCACAAGTAGGTCACCATGACCTGCATTTTGGTCATCATTCTTAGAAAACCCAAGATGCATCAACTGACAAAGTTTGATGATTCTAAGCCGATACTCTAGTAAGTACCTAAGATATTCAAAAGTAGGTCACCGTGAACTTTTGGGGCGACATTCTCTGAAAACCCAAAATGCCTCAACCGACAAAGTTTAACAATTCTATGCCAATAAGTACCTGAGAGTTAAATATACCCATGAAATGTCAAAAGTTAGTCACCGTGACCTACTTTTGGTCGACGTCAACTTTGAAGTGACCTTAAGACCACATCCTTTGCCCCACGGTAATTCTCTGATCAAATCTTAATCTTCTACATATCCTGATCCTTGTATGTAAGTTTGGTGAAAATCTGCTTGGTGGTTCTGAAGAAGATTTTTTAGGAAGCAGTACTTTTTGTTTCATTTTCAGGATCATCGCCCCTTGTTTAAGGGTCCTAACCCTAGTTTTAGTATAAATGGTAGCCCTTGGGCCAAGGATACCCTGTGACAATAATTGGCCAAGGAGTTCTTGAGTTATGGCCAATATTCCAAAATCATTACGCACACAACACAAATGGCCATTTGCTTTTTGAGCCTTTGGCTCAGAAGAGCTAAAAAGTAAGTTAAATTAATAAACTGTATTTTTCCCTTTTTCTCCACGATTTGAAAGACTTATCAAAATTATATTCTTTCATCGAAACTAGATTAATCCCTTGAACAGAAAATTATTAGCAATACTTATTAACGTGTACTTTTGTGGATTGTTTTTCCTGCATTATTTGAATCGACTTTATTTGACAAAACACTTACTTCCTTTTATGTCGTTTAGCTCGTTCATGGCACTGACGTATTTATGATCCAGCTTTTCCATCATTTTGTCCATGTCTGTCACGTGATTTACCAGTTTATCCAACTCCTTGACAGTATTCTTCAACTCCTCATGCATGATGTTCACGCCCTTGTCGAATTCTTTCAAAGCCTCATCACGTTTCCTAACTTCGTCTTTCAGAGTTTCTAGCCGGTCTTTCGTTACCTCTCGTTGATGATTCAGACGATCAATCTCTTTTCTAAAGTGTCCATTTTCATCCCTCAATCCCTGGACCTGGCTCTTGAGATCGTTCAAGATGTATTCGTGTATTTGGAGATTGTGGTTTTCCTGGCGAAGTCTACTTATTTCTTCAGTATTTCGTTTCAGTTGGTTGTTGTGATCGAATAACGAATACACAACAAACCCCAAGAAAGCCACACATACCGCCGTCAACAGGTTAGCCATGACTGTACAATTTCTGTTTGAAATAGATAAACCGTTAAAAATTATTTATGAAAATAAAACACATTATTTGTGAATATTTTTTAACCTATGCTTAAAAACACCATAAAACTAGTCACAACTAAGGACAACAAGTTTGTCAATCATATTTTAAAAAGAAATTGAAACGAAATTTTAGAGAAATTAATTTTTTTAATATTTGGACCTAACCCGATCAAAATTAAACTGATCCCGATCAAAATTAACACAAATTGAATAAAATGCTTATTTATTGCCTCTTCATGTATTTACAATTAAGAAATCTATTTTATTTTAATGTTTTAACCCTTATAACACCTAATCAGACTAGTGCTCTTGGGGAAATGTTATTTATTTCCAATAATTGTACAATTATGATTGGGATCGGTTTAATTTTTATAGGGATTGGCCAAAATCAAAAAAAATAATTTCTCTAAAATTTGTCTATTTCGTTTCAATTTCTTTTATAAATATGATTAATGAATATGTTCTCCCCAGCTGTGACTGGTTTTAAGAAGATTTCAACCACAAGTTTAAAAAATATTCACAAATTATATGTTTTATTTTCATAAATATTTTTTTATTTAAAAAACAAATTAAAATCTATACGGCTTTTCTTTACATATTTTATTAGGTATTCATGTAATGCGTTCATTTACATCAACATTTTTACAAGAAAGCATCTAATTTGGATGTAAATATTTTTTTGAATTTTCTTTGAAAATATAAGATAAAATAAATAAGAGCTAATGTCGGCCTGTCAATGCTGAAATCATTGTTTAAAAAGGTTGACTCAGAGATCTATAAAATAAAAATTTGGTGTGGCATTCCTCCTTAAATGTTACATTTTCAAATTAATAACCAATACACTTTTCGATCGATCTGAATCTAATGTTGATTTGTGTGTACCAATTCATAAATGAAGGGTTAGTTTAGGCTTTTTGAAAATTCCTTCCATTACTTAGGCCTTTCAAATGCCGCCAGGGTTCGTTGTTATGAACGATAACTCATTTCTGAAACTTGTTTAGAGCAGGTCCGAGGTATCTGACTGTTTATACGCAAGTCAGTTTTTAGCATTTCCCAAGTGCTGTCAGTAGAATCCAGCGGCTTTAAAATTTAGCACCAATGTTAAACTTATTTACTATATAGTTAAGGACACCGTTTAATTACATATAAGTAAAATTTTTAATGAAAATAAAAAGTGAAATCTACCCTCCTTCTAAGTTCTAATCTGATCAAATTTTTATACTTGGTCGTTCTTCTTCGTGCTTAGTAACATAAATTCTCCTTCTTTTGGTCAACACTTTTGTGTACAAAACAATGTAAGGAACCCTTTTGTGTAAATAACAATACCAATGCTGAAGCAGCCTACATGACATTCCTATAAACGATTACTCATAAATCGGCACTTTGTTGGTCATTTTTCAAACCTGAGTTACCTGTCCTTAAAACACAACATCGAAGTAGTCAACTACAAATAATTAAACTTCTGTAATGATTTAATTAAAGGTATGCATAAATTATTATCTTATTTGATAATTTCATGTACATAGAAATCTATCTATGAAATATTTTTTACCATATGTGCACCTTAAAAAATTAGTTGAAAGGCCTATATTACTCCAGGTGCCATGTTATGCAATGATTTACCTGTACATATAAAAATGTCACCAAGTCTTCATGCTTTCAATAAACAAGTAAAGCATTTTTAATATGTTTGTATGTGTATAACTATGTTAACTTTATATTGTCAATGGGCAGACGACCCTGGGTAAGAACAGAGCTTGCACTAATGATTCATCAGGTTCCCTTCTTTAAATAAGGTATTATCATTATTATCATTATCAATACCCACAACAGTGCTTACCTTACAATTTTAAAAACCCGTCAGGACCTAAAGCAAAGCAACTTGAATTCGAAAAGATAGACCATGATAGCTCGCTATATATATGATCTGTCGTCAGACATGGTGGTATTTCGGATCACTAGGGAGAGATTGGAATGAAACATAATTTATGGAGATAACGAAGATCAAAAGTCCATTAAAAAATACAAAATACAGGAGCAGAGCAAACACGAACCTCTAAAAACAACAAAGGTGGGATCAGGTGCCATGGAGGAGTAAGCATCCCTGCCAACCGGTCACACCCGCCGTGTGTTCCATGTCATGATTGGGAAGAAACGTGAAAATCCGTCGTCAATTCAGTGTATAAATAATGGACTAACATTTAGTGTGAAAAACGTCAGTCGGCATTTGACTCAATGATCAATTTATTTGCCGACAAGGTCATTGTATCGACCATAGAACTTACGAAATAATGACTTTAAACGAGACAGCTGAAATTCTTGTTTCATCAACTTGTTTGTCAATAATTTACCTCGTTTTAGAAATTACTCATACATAAAGCAGGCTCTTGCGTTTCTCAACTGAGATATATAAACTCCGTATGCAGGGATGAAGGTATACTGCTGCATTAGAAAGGAAAGTTGACGATAAAAAAGTTAAAGTCATCACGTTTATCATGGAGCTTGGTTGTTCGATTACCATTAACGCCTTTTTCAAGTAAAAAATCCAACTATGGAAAAGATGTGTCCGACTCTAAGGTATCTTTTATCTCAAGTTCACCAGGATACGCGCTTTAAGGATATTATATTACGAACATTATGGAAGTTGGAGGCATCATCATACCTAGTAGATAGGTACGATGAACCAAATGACTGGGGGGCTGAAGGTAACACAGCAATCTGTATAGGGTTATTGAAAGAAACACAGCTAATGGTCAAGGTTACTCTGTTTATTACCACCGGAGTAATTACAAGCACAGGGGTAACATCACAAATTTTACGCATGCAATTATTTCCCAAAGATTCTTTCCCCGGTCAATGATATTTCTGGTTATGAAAGATCTGCTACAGCTGTTTGCAGTGAGATATCGGACGATGAAGATGAGGAATCTGATCATGCTGATGATGAAACCTTAATAAAAACACTTGATGAAGCTATTCCAAGGAACCAGATAGAAAAATTTTTGCCACCAAAGAACGCTTAATATTGAAAAGTAATTATATCAGACACGCACAGATAAATACAACCGAACCGTAGAAATCGCGAAATTGGAATCCCTGCTGAAAACAGAAAAAAACAAGAATCAACACCAAGGATGAGACATTGAGAAGAGAACTTATTAATAAGAATTTGAAACATGAAAATGAACACCTGTCAGAAAAAAAAACTTTACACAAAAAAAAATGAAGAAAATTATCAGCTCATTGATGAAAAGAAATCATTCAGAAGAAAAGTTGGTGACCACTTGAATGAAATTTTGTCCTTAAAATCACAGCTCCACGGCATATTCATAAGCAGAGGAAAGGACATTGAAAACAGAAGGGTGAAAGATATGAAAGATTTGGAGATCAATACGGAGAAGAATCGAAAACCAAAGGCATTATTGATAGATACTATTAACATGATTAATGTGAATTGTATTCAAGAGGATAAACTTGCATCAGATGTAAACGTGACTAAAGTAACAGCATTTACTCTGGATGAAACAAAGAATGCCATCACTAATTCTTCGTGCACACCTGATGTAGAAGTCCTTCACTCTCTTATTATAACAAATGATATTGGGAATACTAGTCCTGAAAAACGTGCCGAGTAACTACAAGGAATGGCTGGGGATATTAAAAAGAAGTGGAAAAATGTCAACAACTTCTCCAAGAGAAAACAACTTCTTGCACAAGGTAAACTGTGGGCTCCTGTATGGGATAATAAAGAGGGATTACATGGAGTGTCTTGAGTTCATATTTCCGACAACGAAAACATGTGGCACGGACATCTTCCTACAATCGAGTTACCGTATCCCAGTGACGAATTTAACCTGTCTCCGAAGGTTACATACATAATAGCGTCTAACAAGTGGGCAATAAACAACGTATTAAAAATAAGTAAATATCTATGGGGCATGCGAATACAGGAAATCCATTTCCAGACGAACAAATATGATTTCTTTCGTTTGAGGAACGAATTAGACAGAAATCAATTTCTACTTGGTGTGATAATGAATTACTTTTTCGGAATTACAAGGTTTTCATTCGAATACCTGGTGAATATCACGTGGTTCTTTAGAACCGGTCTTGTTAGCAAGGCTATATAAGAGGTGAATAGTGGTTTAAATACCAGTTTAGGACGACACGTAGAGCACGATAAAGTTTAAATCTCAGAAGCAGAACGAAGTAGCGTAGGGAGTGGTTCATCGACATGTTTTAGCCATTGTAGATGATATGTAATCACAGAAAATAAAGTTGGAGAGAGATTTGACAGTGTGGAAAACGAGGTCATCAAAGAAAAGCCATCTTAGAGCTTGTTTTGATAAGATAAGTATTCAATTGAGAATACAATTGATCAGTTTTTTAATAAGAAATAAAGTAGTGATAACAAGGCTTGTAATAGAGAGAATTTGAAAGCAAATACATGTACATGATTGTATTAAATTATGAGATTCGTTAATTCTCGTTAGTATATCATGGTTTAATTCTTGATTGTTTTATATATTGATAAATATTTTATCTTTTCTGTGATAATCGAAGTTATTTCCAGAAATAGATAATTTGTTTTGTAGAAAGATGGATTTGTTCATGGAAGAAAACTGGTGTTTATGAAAATCAAAACAAATACGTTACGATAATTTATTTTATTTTTCAATTAATGCAAGTATAGAATTAATAAGATATTAGTATTATATTTGCATTCATATCCAATTAAAAATGTTTGCTTATCATTTTAAATTTCCTAAGTGCATCAGCATTATAACATGGACATTTTCTAAGTATAGAAAATATCGAGGATGTAAAATTGTTTGAATTTATTTTTCAATTTCAGTTTCTTGCCATTTGTTAAATGTGCTACTAAAATGAAAAGTTTTAGATATGTTGAAGAGAAAACAGTATATTCTTATGTTTCAGGTAGTTACATGTTGGGGTTGGTATCACGATGAG